TTAATATTTAAACTATAAAAATATATATTTTTTAGTTTTTTATTAATTAATTTATTAAATCTATCTATATATATTTTAAATCCATATAGATGTTTAGATAGGAATTAAAGAAGTACATATATGAACAAATTTAATGAGCAAATGTAAGAATTAAAAAACGTATAAGGATAAAAATGAAAAAAAACAAATTTAGAAATTAAAAATATTTATAATTAAAATTTTAAAAACTAAAAATGACATTTAACCTTTATTTAAAAGCGTGATCCTATAAGGTAAATTTAAAGTTTATTTAGTTGGGAAAACTTTTCTCTCTAACTTTTTTTTTTACGAGGTCATTTATATATTTTTATATATATCTTAATATTATAACAAAAGAAGGATAAAAATGATTTTTTTATTTTTTATTTTTCTTGACACAATTTTTGACCATTAAACTAATCTTCTCACGTTTTTTGAAAGAAAATGTTTATCCCCAACTTTCTTTCGTGAAACTCACTTAATAACTTTTTTATCTACTTTTCTTTAGTTAATTTTTTACCATGCATATAAAAATTCACAACTTAATAAAATTTTAACAAAATTTTATTACAAAATTTATGGACTTTCCATATAAAACTTTCTCAATTACTTTTTCAATAAAAACTTTTTTAATAAAATATTAACTTTTAAACAAACAGGTCCTAAATGCTACCTGTCAAGTAATCTTATACCCATTAAACTATAGATAATGATTGGATCTAACACCCGAGTGTGCACCCCCTACATAAAAAAAAAAAAAAAAGTTGGATTGGGTGATGGGTATTTTTTTTTGTTTATATGATGTGTGCACACCCGGGTGTTGGATCCGGGTATGCACACATCATTTTCCTTAAACTATAGAAGTACTATTATTTTGTGCACATTTTACTTATTACACTTTTATTTGATACAATTATAAAGAAAGTTACTAAAATCTTATAAAAATTTTTTATTTTATAATTTAAACAACACAAATTACACAACAAAAATCATTGAATGCGAGACCAACCCTCAATATCAAAGACCCAAGCATCTAATAGTATTAACTGTGCATTTTAGATTTTCCAATACTTTTTTAAATATATAAAACTACAATTTTTACTTATTAATTACCCTTCTTGATAATGAAAGTTAGGAAGTTGGATTGTGTTCTTTTTAAAAGTAAAATAATTATTAATAGGATAAATTTTGACCCAAAAAAAAAAAGACTTTAATACTATGTTTTAAATTGAAATTAACAAATAAATTGGACCATAAACATATCTAGTTATAATATAATCAAATAATCAATTCTTTCATACTTCGGTTTCGTGACATGATGGCTATATACCTCGTAATAAGGTACACTTCTCAACGTAAAAACTAGAATTCGAATACCTCCTCCCTCAAAATGTAACCTGTTCAAAAAGAAAAATAATAACCAACTCTTTGTACAAGCTGAGACTTCCTACACTCAGTATGCCTCTACATCTTCCTGCATCAACCCATCATTCTGCAGCAAATTAGCCCATGAACACTATTCTTCAAAAGAGAAAGCAACATGTACTCTAGCACTAATCCATTGGTCCGATATTGCCAGTACCTCTCCAAATATTCTTTCCACTTTCATTTCTGCTCTCCTAGAAAATTTCTCATTTCTAGACAACCAAATGGTTCAAATAATTGCAAACCAAACTACCTCCCACCCACTACCCACTGTTTTCCTCCCTCTACCCCATCCATGTTGCAAAAAAACCTCCTTTGGATTCCACTAGTATAAGTTAAACTATTTTTATATTGTAATCACTTTGGACCTTGTTTTTAAATTTTTTTATTATTATTATTTTCTTTTTTGGATTCCACCAAAGCCAACCAACTGCCATCCAAGGCTCACAGCATCTTTTGCATGCCTGTAACCAAGCCTTCATATTCCTAAGTGAATTATGAATAGCAACAAAATAAACCCCACCATCTTTCATATTCCTATGTAATCACTTTCACCCTGGAATATTATACTAAACAATAAGAAAATTAAAGAATTTTTTTTTTTAATATAAGAACAAGAAAAGTAGGCTAATTACTGTGGTTTTTGGGCCCATAAAAAATATGGCCCTGAAATAAATAATGACAGTGTAGTCCGGTCCAGCAATATATGCATGCAGCCCATGCTTTGTCACAGTCGAAAACGCTCTGATACCTGCCATTGAACAGACCGTTGTGGGACCCATGGTCCCACAGCCACATGTGAGAACCGCCAGAGAGAACTTTTGCTCGCCGTCTGTGGCCTCATGTTCCCACCTGAGGGCTCCCCTGAGCACTCACCGCCATTGTATTTTGCAGAGCAGCAGCAAAGAGCATTTATAATGGTAAAGTTAGGTTTTTTTTTTTTTTTTAATTTCTTATCAGCAGCGGTAGAGCCTTATTTATGTCTCCAAATCATAATAATTTATATTATTTTATGTAATTCACCATCAAAGATTCTAAGAGAGATTTTCCTGTCTAATGCATAGTATAAGGGCGACTCGTAAAAAATTGCACCAAGAATAAAAATATCAATCTTTTATACTCATGCAAAAAAAACTTTAAAAAAAATGAAAAAAACGTCCCTCTTAAATTAGCAAAACAGAGACTCCCTACAATGTATAAAGTCTGAAAAATAATATGTTTAATTACACTTTTAACTGCACACTCAATTACATATCCTTGATTTAGTGAATAAAATATGATTCAATAGGGTTTTTTAGATGTTAAAGACTTATTCCTCTCTTGTCTAGACTATTGTTTGGCATCCATTTGGTCCCTTAAAATTCTTTGTTGGAAACTATCATATCCAACCCAATCAATTCCTCCAAATTCTACAAATTCCAACACTCACCTGTCCTAATTTAGTGAAATTTTGTTAATTGCCCTACCTTTACCTCCATTTTTTCCAAAATAGCCACACCAAGATTGAAATGACATTGATCACTAGTGATACGTTGAAAATTAACAAAGCTGCCACCAACCCTAGTTTCACCATCAAACATTAATTGGTGTTGCACTCTAAAATAAATAAAAGAAATTATTAAAGGAATCATTATTGAAAAAGAAAAAGCATCCAACATATGGACTAGGGGTAGGATAAATTACAAAATTTTATTTGAAGAAATTGTGTATCTTACAATCCAAAGCTTTCAAATGGAGAGCGCGTGCTACTGCATTCAAGGGGCCTATACCAACCTAATAGTCCCTGTTGTTGTGGACATTGCACGTACATAACTTATTTGATTTGGTGTAGGTAGGTACGTACTCTTGAGCTAAATCATGAGAAAACATGTATTAACACTAAAATATTGAGTGTGAAAAGTAAAAAAATATTTTCTATTCATATTGCATCTAAGTGAACTTTTTGCTACGAGGAGGATAGTTTATAAGCTGGTTAAGAGATTTTTTTTTGGCCGTAAGTTGATTAAGAGTTTGAAATTCTTATTTAAAAATCTTAAATTTGAATCTTAACTTAAGCGAAAGAGAAGAATTTGAGAAAAGAGACTTGTTAATCTCGATAAATATAACTCATAATTGAATGCAACAAAAAAAGTTTCTAAGAGTATTTTTTGACTTTATAATCTCAATATTTAGGTTATAGTTATGGTTATGGCAACTGTTAAATTTATTAGAGCTATCAAAGTTTTTAAATTTTTATTTTAATTTAATTATTAAAAATAGTTAATAACTAATAAAAAGTTAATATTTATTATTTAATATATTAAAATTAATTTATAAATAAACATTTTTAAAGATTATAACTAACTAATTAAAATAAATTATAAATTAATAAAATTATAGATAAAATTAATGACCTTATAACAAAAATATTTTACCATGTTAGTTGC